TTATCAATGCTTAAATTCGAATAAATAATTGTCCAATTAATAGCTAACGTGTAGATATACGCATTCGGTGTTGCAACTTTAGAGATTTTATATATCAGTGTTTATAATTTGTATTAATTGGGCTAATTAGCTCGTTGTCTAGCAACTCAGTTATATAAATTATTTATATTGAAGATATATTTTCTATGTAGATCAGCTATATAGCAATTTTGTCATTTTTGTATATAAAAAAACATAATATCAATGGCTTAAATTATACATTATTGAAAGTCTCTTTATAGCTAGACGACATTGGTAGTAGTAACGGAATTTTAGCCATCATCGTCTAAAGTTAAAACTATCAGACTATCAGAATGGGAAAGTAGAAATCAGTATATTTTATAAAGAAGAGAGATTTTTTAGGAATTGGACGGGAAGTTAAAATTTTAGGATTTTGTTATTATATATAGTATAGATTAGAATAAAAGATCTCTCTTCCTAATAAAATATATTGATTTTTACTTTCCCATTCGTACAATAATTCTTCGTTAAAATTCTATTCTAATATTATAAAATAGTGTAATACAATCTATTTTATATATAATTCTATTCTTACTATTATTACTATTACTGTTATTACTATTACTGTTGTTGTTGTTGTTGTTGTTGTTGTTGTTGTTGTTGTTGTTGTTGTTGTTGTTGTTGTTGTTGTTGTTGTTGTTGTTGTTGTTGTTGTTGTTGTTGTTATTATTATTATTATTATTATTATTATTATTATTATTATTATTATTCAAAAAAATGAAGTAAACAGAAAAAATATAATTTCTTAACTTTCAGTCCAACAAAAAAAATATAGTTTTCTGACCTTCAACCAAATATTAGAAAATTAAATTATTTTATAAAAATGAGTTATTTTTTGAAAATCATTTTCTGAAAAATATGTTCTAGGTTTTCAAACGGTTCCTTAAATCAAAATGTAAAAGTATCACGGAGTACTCTTTTTTTTTTTTCTAAGTATTACACTTTCCCTTATAATTAACAAACACTATATTGCTTATTAGTATTACATTTCTAGTATAAGTATTACATTTTTCAGTATAATAAGTATTATATTATAATCTTGACCCAACCAGTCTCGCGGACAAATATCCGTGAGACGATCTCACACAAGTTTTTATATAAGTTAATTAGTAAAATGAATATCAGTTAATTATGTAAAAAAAAAAAAAGAAATCGTTGCTAACAAAATAATTGACAACTTTTATATGATAAAAGAGTGACGAGCAAGATTATTATTGTATATATTTTGTGTTATGTTAAAAATTATAAAGTATCGATTCAATCGATCTCAATCATTACATAAAGTGTCATTAAAAATTATTATCAATAATACATTATATAATTATGTATAGTATATATAATGATATCATGTATAATCAATACTGATATTAATTGACATTGTAAATTTTTATTATAATTATAACCCTCTGAATATAAATTTTATGGCTCGTCCCTAGTTTCTTCTTTCTATCCACTCGTTCCATTTTTTTTTTATTATGTATAACTGCACGTTATGTTTAACCTACCAACTGTTCATTCATCCACTTGAATTGGATTGACAGAAGTTGCAATTCACTATGCAAAATTAACTCTCAAAAGTCAAAATACTAAAATATATACGAATGCATGCATGTAATAACTCCAAAAACGTATTTGAGTGGCTGAAGTATAATTATCATGCCTAAACGTTATAAGTTTGATTATTTTCAAATTAGGGTTTATTTAGTGCGTACTCTCAAGATAATGACAAGCTTGACAACAAGTGTTTCTAATCACGGAAAAATAAAATGCATGTAATAGGCTAAACTACTAACAATCGTAGATTTGTAGTGTCAGCATAGTTAGAAAAATACGGTTTTATAAACTACTATACACAGAATTGTTCTTGATAAAGCTTGAACAATTTGTATCCCAAACAAAGCCATGCATAGTCTATTGATATTCATGTAAAACCATGGCTTATATTAAAAATTTTAAAATTTATTTTTGGGTCATGTAATTAACAAAAATTAAGCTTGACCACATGAAAGCCATAAAAGGAGGAAAAGGACAAATAAATAAAGGTGGTGTACGACACTATGTGATCTTATTAGGTCAAAATCTGTCAAGTTCAATAGTTAATGAGAAGATATTGATAGTTAGATTTGACATATTTAAGTAACTTTATTAGAGATAGATTTTAAAGAGTTTTTATCATATTTACACAAGATGAGAGAAAATAAAAGAAAAAAAAAATTATTAAAAGAAATATTGTTTTTAAAAAAAGCTTTTAAGTGTCCAAGGGTATGTGCTCAGGGCGCGCATTTTCACTGAATGCGTCAACATGAGAGTGCCTAATTACTCCTCCTATAAGAACCTTTTATTTTCTTTTTTTCACATCACATTTGGCCCCACAAAAAAAATCCTAAAATCTATAAGAGCATCCCCAATAGAATGTTTTTAATGATTTTTAGAACAATAAAAAACTAAAAGTTTGATTTTTAACAAATGTGGTGAGTGCTTTTCTATTGATTTTTTCTCCTGCTATTTATGATTTTTTTTTGGGACTCGCCATGTGAGAGAGAAGGAAAAACAATAGTTGGAATCTGTGCATGGAGCGCAACTGTTTCTGTTTTTTTTTTTTAGTCTGGATTCTTTTTCCCTCCATCTTTTCTCTTCTATTTGGCACCTCAAAAAAAAAAAAAAAAAAAAAAAAAAAAACTAATTGGGATGCTCCTAGGTTAGAATACTATAGATTATTGCATCCAAAAGATATTTTAATACAATCATGTGCATTACAAATGTTAGAAATAAATCATATAATAGATTTTGATTATGTATGTAAAATATATATATATTTTTTAAATAGAATGGTGAATTGGTGATCATGAAAAAAAGATGTATATCACGGGAAGATGAAAGAACAACCTCAATAGTGAGGTTTTAGGTTGATTTTTATCATAATCACGTAGGAGAGAGAGTAAAGGGAAGAGAAAAAAGCAATAAAAAAAAAGCCTGACATGAAAAGAAAAATTTTAAAAATCACCCTTTCACGCACCTAGTTGGCGCGTGACTGCACGAGCCAGTTGGGCACAGTAGGTGCACCTGACGTGCACCTACGACTGTATTTTTTTTTTTTTTTTAATCTTTGCTGGTGGGTCTTAATAAAAAACCACTAAAATATCAATCTCCACATGTGTTAAAAATCAATCTTTTATTTTTTTTTTACTATTCCAAAATCTATGAAAAAAGAGTAGTTCTACTCCCAATTCATACTCTCATTTTGTACTCTCTATAATTTGGCATGCTTTGATTACTCAATTTTATAAGGAGCGATGATGTTTATCCATTTCTTTGTTTCATCCTCCAATCAAATTTAGACATAAATAAGAGTAAAAGTTGAGAGGACATCAAGCATTTTTCATAAAAAAAACCCTATTTGAGAAAAGTTCTACTACATGTACTCTCAAATCTTACTCCATTAATTTTACTCATTCATGTGGGGACTCTAATAAGCTGCTTTTTTTTTATGTGATTTTAATACAAGTGTCTACATTAAGATTTTGTGTATAATATAAAAATAAAAGTAGAAAGTATAAAATGAAAGTACGCATGGTATTTTTCATTCCGGGATGCCCTTAAAAAAAGCTGAGACAAACAAAAGGATGAAATGTTAAAAGCAGAAAGATGACTAGCAAAAAGTTCAAGGGCCAGAAATGTGACTTGACAGGAAGTTGGCCTCGACAGAAAGTCAGAAAGATTAATTTAGAAGCGATGATTTTTTTGTTTTTTTTTTTGGGAGTCTATTGTTTATAAAATACTACGTAACAGAAATCATTGAAAAGTATGTCAACAAAATGTTCCAAACGTACATTTTCCTGTTATATGTGTTACTGTGTTAGGAGTAATATTTAATAAATTTTGATAATCTTAATTAAATTGTATAAGTAATTTCGAATTGCCAAATTAAGATGTAATTTTCTATTTTAAAATAATTTTGTAAAGACCAAAAATAGGACTTAAGGAATTTAATCAAGACATAAGTCAACTAGCAGAGCGGTCAAATAGTAAAAGTGTCAAGAGTAGAATTAATTTTAAAAATGATCACTTAACTATTAATATTTATCAATTTTTATCATCGACTTTCTATTGGACTATAAATGATTTCTTGACTGTTGATATTTATCAATTTTCGTCATTGACTTTCAATTTGAATATAAATTGTCTTTTGAATATTCATTTTATTTCAAATTTGGTTCCTTAAATAAAATCAATTCTAAAGAGACCATTTATGGTTAAATTATAAATTAATAAAAAACTGATAAAAATAAATAATTAAAGAATCATTTTATGGTCCAACTGAAAATTAATGATAAAATTAATAAGTATAAATAATCAATAAATTATTCTGGAAAATACTCGTCAAGCACTCAAGCTACTACACCAATAATAGACCAAGGCCAGTAAAGTTCACAATCGATAAACTCGAAGTCAACGACAGACACTAGTTTACAGAAGACTTGGAATAATAAAAGATTTAAAAAGAAATCAGTAGGGAAAAGCTAATCAGTTCAAGTTTCAAAATCGATTGACGAAAAAATTGAATCTCCAATTTTTAAGAATCCTCACATCTCGACCTAACAAAACATCTAAAAAGATATAAATTATGATAATTCAACTGATAACTTATACTTAGAAGAGATATTCGACACACATGATAACTGATATTTAATCAATACTATATTAATGTTACTAAAAATATTTTATTTTTTTCATTGTTCCCAAATTGTTGAATCCCAGACCCCAAGGGCCCCACGCCTTGACCCGACAGGAGCATCTGAGAGGATATAAATCATAGTAACTTAGCTGAATCCGTATAGAGGCTAGATCTTTGCTTACTACGCATAAGGAGTCCCCTCACTTTGAGAGATTGCTCCCACAGTGTCGCTGGTGAGACTCGATCCCAGGTCATATATTTACAGGTGGCAGTTTACTTTAGTCATATTTTCAGAACACACCATTTGGTCCTAGTATTATTGTGACAGGATATTTTTGGTCCTCCATAAAAATAATTTAAATATTGTTAAATGCAAGAGCATTTCGGCCTTCCGTTATGGATCTTTTCAAACAAAAATAAAAATAGCGGGCTAACCCCGGCCCCCTGTATTTAAAAAAAAAAAATCGAAGTACCATTGTATTTAACGATATTTTATTGACGGAAGACAAAAAAAAAAAAAAATCATGCCACAGTAATACTAAGATCAAGGAGGATGTGCCACCACAGAGAAAAAAATTATTATTATTATTATCATTATTATTATTTTAAAAAAAATCAATCTTGACCGCAAGCTTTTTAATTTTTTTTAAAATATTTAATTTCCAATAAATAATTATTATCAATAATAATAAAATTTAAAGCTTGCCCACAAGCTTTTTAAAAAAAAAATCTAATATTCAATAAATTATTATTATTATTATTATTATTATTATTATTATTATTATTATTATTATTATTATTATTATTATTATTATTATTATTATTGTGGGATTTGAGTATCCAAGTTATCAAAACATATTCTAATCACTCTTAACTTAGGATGTTACCAATAATAACATGTTAAATGGAATTAGTTATATATATTTTTTTAAATTTCAAGTGTCTAATTAGAGCTTTTTTTTTTTTTTTTTTTTTTTTTTTTTTTTTTTTTTTTTTTAGTTTGACTGCTTAATTGCACTTTCATAAATATTTATATATTTTTTTTTCTTTTTTCTTAAAAAATTCTAACATTTCGAGATGACAGATGAGGTCTTGAATATATATAATAGAATTAGTTGTAGAAACTTATGGATGGTGGCGACCCAAAGGCCATTTTCAATAAGTCAATAAAAAATAAGTCTTAAAATTTTCTAAATGGCATTACAATCTTTTCCAAATCAATAAATAATACCAATACTATTATAAATACTAGTAATTCACCCGCGCGATGCACGAAAAAAAATTATGCTATTATAAATATAAATAAAAAATAAAAAAACTAAAATATTTTAAATTATTTAATATAATAATATTTTTGAGCTTCCATTGGTCAAGTATTTATTATTTTTATAGAATACAAAATTAAAATTAAAATTAAAATTAAAATTTTGTATGGTTAATATAATCTCTAATTATGTGCATATTCAAATAAACTTATAGAGATAATTTACGTAATTACATTGATTTATTCTTAATTGTATTTCATCTATATTATAATTTTCACAATACAAATAATAACTAAGATAATTACATTTTGAAAGCAAATTTCAAATTTTGTATGTGTAAATTTAAACTCTAATTGAACACATTTTTTATATGATTATATAATATATAGCTATTTTATTTTTCAAAAGTATATTTTTTATATGATTATATAATATATAGCTATTTTATTTTTTAAATGTTGTGCATTTTTTTTATATATATAATAAAGGATGTTGTGGCATTAATTATAACATTAATTATTTCCCAAACCATATAGCTTTATTATATAAAGGATTTTATGCATGAATATCAACGAACTACCATTACTAACATGTCATCTCTTTTAAATTAATGAGACATGAATTCAATGCTCTATACTTTTGTGAGTTCTGATTTCACGAGTTTAATAGTATTCTAAATATTAGTACATGGTTATGAAAATTGTCAATATAGATTTTTTTTCTTTTTTTGAGTTAATTCCATTGGATTTTGCCCTTTTTGTGTCTTCAATTTTTTTTTTTTTAGGTAAGGGCATTTTGCCATTTTTGTTTCTTCAATTTTTTTTTTTAATTTCGGTTTTATGCGCTATTTTTTTATTCTTCCGATATTTGCATCTTTAGTAGTGGATTGCACCATCTCCTTCACCCAGCTCTTTTCATCTCCTTTAATTCGGTCCCAAATCGTCCATCATCGATAGTGATACCGAGTACGTGAGGACCTCTGGGTGAGGGGAAATCATTTTGCAACGCAATTGGAATGTTTAGGATGTCATCACCCGGTTGGCTTGAGTTCGAGTGCTATTTTTTTAGTCCATGATTCTGTGAATCATCTACTATAGTTGTAGAGCAAAAAAAAAAAAAAAAAAGGAAAAAAAAGGAGAGAAAGAAGTCTATTCTTCGTCATCGGAAAATACCATTTACTAAAATAGGGTTTCACCGAAAAAGGTCATCAAAATGATTAAAAGTGTCCAAAATATGATAGTGTGATATGTTAAATGGCAAAAACGATTGTTTGGGATTAAATTTGAAAATGTCACCAAAGACAAACGACCTCCACTGGAATTAACTCACTGCAAAAATAATAAAAAAACTTTGAAGATACGAAAATAATCTTACCTAAAATAGAGTTTCACCAAAAAAGTCATCGAAAGGACCAAAAGTGTCCAAAATATGATAGTCTAAGATGTTAAATGACAAAAATGATAGTCAGAGAAGACTAAATTTGAAATTGTCACCAAAGACAAGAGACCTCCGTTGGAATTAATTTTTTTTTTTTTAAACTTAGGGGATATTAGCATTGTCGGACTAATCCTAAGCCCACAGGACCTTGCTCCTAGAGCCACTGTAAATGTAAAATGCGAGTCGCACAATCAGTTCATCGGTCATTTTGGGCCTTTTTTCATTCATGTTTCTAGTGAGATTCAAATCATGCATTCATGTTTTTAGTGAGACGAACCCACACTGCAAACTTCAATCGTGACATTAAGTCAAACGACGAACCACTGCGCTAAGTCTCGGGCGCTATTTAAGACTTTTTCTTTTTACACATTTAGTTCTTCCATTGAGAAATCCAATGAAATCTCACTAGATTTTTGTTATAAGACCAAAGTTTATAGGTAAGAATTACATATTCTATAAGTGCATGTTATAGGAATTAACACTTTTGTCCATAAACTTTAGTCACTTGCAAATCATGTAATAAAATCTGATCTACTAGAATTTCACTGATCAAATTTCTCGTTAGGAAGACCGTACCAAAAGTAAGAAATTAAAATAAAAGTTATGAACTTGTAATAGCAATTTTCATGATTGTGCATTAATAATGAAATGACATCAAACTTGTGGAATTAAAAGTTATAATAACTCTAAACGCCCTCAATGTACCTAAAATAATTACACTTGAAAAAACATCTTTAAAACATTCCAACTCAAGATGAACTTCCTTTAGGGGTCATGTCTAGAAGTTATTATTTTATTTCTTTTTTTTTTTTTATTCTTTATAGTTTCTACTTCAAAAATTTCGAGGGATATCACGAGTTTGAAATGTGGAAATCAAACAACTCTCAAAATTATTAGAAGCAACAAAGTTAGTTAAACTTTTTCATCATCTAAATGTGTGTTTGAAAATCAAGAAAATGACTTCTGAAAAATGTTTTAAATCTTTTTTTTTTTTTTTTAAATAGAAACTTCAATTTTTGTGTGCATGTATACCACCATATATTATATTGTTACTTTTTCTATGGCAGGGTAAGAATATAGCACTGCACCAATTAAGTTCACACGTTGAGCCCAAAGGGAAACATGAAAATGAAAGCCAAAGCTTGAAGCTACCCACTGGATGGTGTAAAGAAATGCCGGCCATGAAGGCAGCAAGGATAGCGATAGGCGATAGCCAAGCGATCTGGCGACATATTATCTCATCTCTTTATAGTTGCGTTAATTATTTGCAGTGTAAGCGAATGGGTGTACTTCACTAATATTCAAAGCATAATATATTGCACACTTTTTGGCAGTTCTATTGGGTATTGGAATCGAAGATGCTAGAGTTTAGCACTATTTTATTCTTGCTCAAAATGATAAAATTTTTATTATTTAAATAAAGTTGCATCATACAATTAATATCACAAGATAATATAATAAAACACAAACTCTAAACAAAATATAAATCAAATTCAATAACCCAATACTATAATCATAATAATCAATTAAGCCCAAAACAAATACAAACTATTTCATGTTGGAATTGTTAGGACTTATATGATGGTGTTCTAATAGGACTCTAGTTTGTGCTTTCTATATTATTTCTGTAATAAACTTTGTTAATGTTAAGCTTAGATATTTTAGTCTCATCTGGTATCAGTTGTATCTAGGATTCTCTCTAATGACAGTCAACGATAACAGTTCTGTTAATGACTCTTCCGAGCAGATTGTTTCCGTGGTGGCTGCCGCCACTCCTCCTCCCACCACCAGTCTGTCTTCCGCGCATCACTTTGTCACCATCAAGTTAACCACCCGTAATTACTTGTTTTGGAGGACTCAGTTGATTCCCTTCCTGGACGGACATGATTTGTTGGGCTATGTTGATGGAACTTTTCAGTGTCCGGTGGATCCTTTGTCGGCGGCGTCGACAGATGCGGGTGATGCTTCTGGTTCGTCTTCGGCTTTGACGCAGCGTCAGTGGTGTTGGCAGGACCGGGCTATTCTGTCGCTATTGATCTCTTCCTTGTCGGAGGAGACCCTGCATCTCGCGGTTGGCCTGACTACTTCCCGGCAACTCTAGACGGCGATTGAGCAGTCGTTGGGCTCGTCTACTCGGGCTCGTACGCTGCGGCTGCTTGGCGAGTTGCAGAACTTGCGGCAAGGTGGGGCTTCCATCTCCGATTACCTTGCTCGCGCTTAGATGTTGGTTGAAGACTTGGCGCTTGCTGGCCGGCCGGTCATGTTGGATGATCAGAACCTCTACGTGTTTCGTGGCCTGCGTCCGGAGTTTCGTCCCTTCGTCGCTTCTCTCACGCGTGGCGCTCCGGTTACTCTATCAGAATTATCTGCTTTTTTGGTTGCGCAGGAATTTATTGCCGATGATGGTGTTGATCACGGTGGACTGGCGGCGATGGCTACCCATCGCGGTGGCCGTAATGGACGAAGCGGTAGTGGGCAGTCTCGGGGCAGTGGCAGCAGCGACCCTGGTGGTGGTCGCGGTTGCGGGAATCAGGGGCGTGGCCGTGGGTGGTTGCGTTCTGGTGTTCGTTGTCAGATATGCAATAATCACAGTCACTCAGCCTTGACGTGTTATCGTCGTTATTTTGACACGCTCGGGCCTAAGGCGAATGTTGCGTATCCGGCCGAGGATTCTAGTACGGTTGATCCTCATCAATGGTTCCTCGATACAGGTGCCGCGAACCATGCAACCCTCGATGCCTTGGTGATGTCATCCGCTGCCAGTTATGATGGTCCAGACACTCTTCGGGTCGGCAATGGTACAAGTTTGCCAATAGTTAGTGTCGGTTCTGCTTCGGTGGTCTCTTCCTCTAGGTCATTTAAGTTTTCTAATGTCTTATATGTTCCTGGGCTTTCTACTTCGTTGTTATCTGTACAAAAATTTGCAGGTGAAGGATCGTTTGACCAAGGAAATTCTTTTTTAAAGGTCGTGCGTTGGGGGGTCTCTATAGCTGGCCTGTTCCGCGTCATGCTCTGGTTGCGTTTGTTTCTGCCCGTGCGTCTTCTTTGGTATGGCACATGCGGCTCGGGCATCCTCACTCTCGTGTCATGCGTCAGATTTTGCAGTCGTCCTCTATTAGTTCGTTTAATTCTAGTGATTTGTCTAGTGTCTGTTCTGCATGTCAGTTGGGAAAGTCTTCCCATTTTTCGTTACCTCGTGTTGCTTAGTCGAGCTCTCTTGTCTTGGAGCTTATTTATACTGATATTTGGGGCCCTGGGCCATTAATTTCTACGAATGGATATTGATATTTTGTCTTATTTGTAGATGATTATACGTGTTATGTTTGGTTTTATCCTATGCGTGCAAAATCTGATCTCTATTCCATATTTGATCGTTTTCGTTTAATGGTTGAATGTTTGTTTTCCAATAAAATTGTCTCTCTTCAATCTGATTTAAGGGGATAATATAAAAAGTTGCACAATACGTTGTCTTCTCTTGGGATTAGGCATAGGTGGTCTTGTGCTTATACCCATTAGCAAAATGGTCGGGTAGAACGTAGACATCGTCATATTGTCGAAACGGGTCTTGCTTTAATGGCTTAGGCGTTTGTTCCTTCTCATTTTTGGGACTATGCGTTTGAGGCGGCGGTTTACCTTATTAATAAAATGCCCACTCGTGTATTAATGACGAGTATCTTCATTTTCGGTTACACCGTTCTCCGCCTTCTTATTCGTTTCTTTGGGTGTTTGGGTGTATTTGTTTTCCGTTGTTGCGTCCCAAATAAGTTACAGTTTCCTTCTGCACCCTGTGTTTTCTTAGGTTACCCAGATTCATTTCGAGGCTATTGTTGTTTAGATACCCTCACTAACAAGGGTTTTATCTGTCGCCATGTGCGGTTCGATGAGACCGTTTTTCCTTTTGCTGTTTCTTCTACGCAGGTTGATGTGCCAATTGTTGCTTCGCCGTGGTGAACTGCTACTGTTCCAGTTATGTAGCGTTCTCCTCCTAGTGTGCGTCGGCCGTCTCTTGCCCAGTGTGACGTTCCCGTCACTGCTGCCCCCTCAGCATCCAGTGAGCGTACGGTGACAGAGGATGCGGAGTCGCGGCTTGTTCGAGGACGACGGGCTGCCAAGCCTGTTTAGCAGCGATCTCGGCCGATTGTCACGCGCAGCATGGGCTCAACCGAGCATGTTGCGTTAGCCGCTACCACGAGTGCCACCGAGCCCACATGTTATACTCAGGCTGCTCGGTTTTCTGAATGGCGTGAGGCCATGGATTTGGAGTTCAATGCGTTGCTGCAAAATAACACTTGGCGGTTGGTTCCTTATACTCTAGGTATGAATGTTGTGGGGTGTAAGTGGGTGTTCCGGGTTAAACGGAACGCTGATGGTTCGGTTGAGCGTTGTAAGGCTCGTCTTGTGGCCAAATGTTTTAATCAGGTTGCGGGTGAAGATTTTTTCGAGACCTTTAGTCCATTGGCCAAGCCTACGACCGTTTGGCTTCTTTTGTCCTTGGTTGTGTCGCGGGGTTGGACGATTCGGCAGTTGGATATTCACAACGCCTTCTTGAATGTTGCTCTGGCTGAGACTGTGTATATGCGCTAGCCGCGTGGCTATGAGGACAAGGCGTTGCCTGATCATGTGTGTTTGCTTCAACGATCGCTGTATGGCCTTAAGCAAGCCCCTCGTGCCTGGTTCACTCGGTTGCATGGTTTCTTTGGTTAAGGTTGGCTTTACTCCCTCTAAAATCGATGTCTCTCTTTTTGTTTATAATCACAGTGGTGTTCAGCTTTATTTCTTGGTGTATGTGGATGACATTTTGGTCATGGGTTGTGATTCGGCTCGTGTGGCCGATCTTGTGGCTAAATGGCGTTGGAGTTCAAAGTTCGGAATATGGGTGTCCCGTCCTTTTTCCTTAGCATTGAGACTATTCCGTTGTCTACTGGGATGCTCCTTTCACAGCAGCGATACATGACTGATATTCTTAAGCGAGTTGGTATGGTGGACTGCAAGCCGATTTCAACTCTGGTTTCCTTGGTCAGATCTGATGATGCTCCTCCAGGCCTGATGCTGATCCCACTCAATATCGCAGTCTAGTTGGGGCTCTGCAATATATTACGGTAACTCGTCTTGATCTCTTGTTTGATGTTACTAAATTGTGTCAGTATATGCATGCACCCACTACGGCTGACTGGAGTATGTTAAAGCGTGTGTTGCGCTATGTGAAAGGAACTCTGGGTTTCGGTCTGCGTATTCAGAAGTCTGCGTTTGTGGATATTTATGCCTTCTCTGATTCAGATTGGGTTGGCGATCCGGTTGATCGCAAGTGGTTTTGTGGTTTATTTGGGCAGTGACTTGGTTTCGTGGACGTGTCGGAAGCTGCGTACGGATGCTCGGTCTTCTACTAAAGCTGAGTACAAGGCCTTAGCGGATGTTTCTACGAAGGTCACTTGGCTGGTCTCGCTACTTCGAGAGATTGGTTTGCCACCCACTTCTCCGCCTAAGCTTTGGTGCGATAATTTGAGACCTACTTATTTGTGTGCTAATCTCGTGTTTCATATCAGGACCAAGCATGTGGAGATCAACTATCACTTTGTTCGGGACAAGGTCTCCAAGAAGGAGCTGTTGGTTCATTTTATTCCTAACAAGGATCAGTTAGCTGACATTTTTACTAAGGCTTTGCCTTCTGTGCGTTTTTGTTTTTTGAGAGGCAAGCTCAATGTTGCTAGCAACCCTTTGCTTGTGGGGGAGTGCTAGGACTTGTTTGTTGTTGTTCTACTAGGACTCTAGTTTGTGCTTTCTATATTATTCCTGTAACAGACTTTGTTAATGTTAAGCTTAGATATTCTAATCTCATCGGAATTAACCTTGGCCCAAGATTATAGATCTAAATTCTTAGACTCAAACTTCATTAAATTTTAACTGTTATCTTTATCGGTCCCACTTCTTCCACTATTCCACCACACTGCTGATCCCACCATGCAACCGTCGTTGCATCTTCCACAACACACCGCCCCCCATCTCAATCTTCACTTCTATAAATCTTTGTTGAAACCTCTAGAACAACTACACCATTGCCTCAACCACCACACTCCACCCTCTAACTCAACATCAACTCCCTACCATGCACTCTAAGACCTCCAATTCTATCTCCATCCTTTCTCTATAGCCTAGCAAGAACATCACCCCAAGGTCACCATCACCTTTTAAGACAAAACTTCAAAGAGACAAAAACCTCCCCTCTAAAAGGAGACAGAAACATGTGCCTTGATAGAGTAATGTTGGTTCCATGCAAGTAAAATTTTAGAGGTTAGGGAGGCGAGGGGGAGGGGGTGATGAATAGACGTTTAAACTTTTTTACTTAATGAAAATGATTAAAGTGTTTGCAATAGAAGACTTGAACTTGCCAAGTTTGTTTATAGCTTAGTTTTGTTTAGTTAAGGAATTTTTAAACAAATGTGCGTATGTGATTTGGATTAATTTGCAATCAAAATAAATGAGAGTTGGGAAGAGAGAATGAGAGATCGATCAGAGATATATTTATAGTGGTTTGAGAAAATCTCTACTTCTCTCTTTTCTTAACTCCTAAGGAAGATTTCACTAGTATGATATGAATGCAAGTGAAATGTAAAACCCTTTACACGTACAACTGCAAACCAAGCCAAATATGCTACTTGTTATGCCTATGACAATATAATCCTTCGAATTGGCTTTCACAACCAAGCTCACTGTTCTTCATTGCCTTATTTCGTCACTCCAAGGGTCTCTCACGAAGTCGCATTGAATAATAGATCTCTAACCATTGAATTAGAAAGAATAAGTTTGTGTCTTGTTAAAAGATGATTGGGCATAATCGAGATGATTCTTTTAAGCCTATAATGCTTGAAAGAAAACTTAATTAGGTTGTAGAGAGTTTGATCAACTTGTTCATTCACTTGTTAACCACTTCTAAGCTTCAAGAGTGCTCAATTTATAGGCGATAGAGCATGGCGAGTGGGATTCAAATAAATTTTAAAGTATCTATTAGTACTCTCTAATATGGTATGTCTCCAAAAGCTAAGGGGTTGTTTACTAAAATGGAAAATTGGAGGATTTTCCAAAAAAATAGAGAATTAGAGAAGTGGAAGAATGGAAAATGGAAAACTTGTTTACTAAATTTACTCCTCCAAATTCATATTCTATTTCCATTCTCCAAATTCCTTAAGGAATTTGGAGAATTTGGAGAGACCCAAAACAAGCATCTCCAAATGGAGGAATGGAAATAGCGGGTGAACAATGTTCTTTTGCCTTGAGGTCTCGATTTCGAATCTTGTTGGAGTGTGTTTTCCTTTATTTGCAAGCGCCTGAGGTCTGAGGCCCTTCTTCTTTAATTTATTACTCCGTATTATACTTGTCACTTCTTTTCTTTCTCTTCTTCTTTAATTTCTTTGATTTTTTTTGGGTATTATTATTATTATTATTATTATTATTATTATTATTATTATTATTACCGTTTTTTCCTTTAATTACTATTGTTACTTATTATTATTATTATTATTATTATTATTATTATTATTATTATTATTATATTAATATTAATTTTTATTATTATGCACTCAAACTATGTACTAAAATTATTGAAATAGTTACAGACCTTAAAAAAAATTGAAATAGTTGTAATTTATTTAGTAATTTGTTTTTATTGACTTTTGTTACATTTTGTACATTTAGTATTAGTGTATTGAATTGTTTAGTTAAAAATTAAATTTGTAAAATTAAATTATTATTATTATTATTATTATTATTATTATTATTATTATTATTATTATTATTATTATTACTTGTGCTCGGTATTATGAAATTTGTAAATGAAATCAGAAAATTGGAGAAATGGAAAACTGGAGAAATGGAGATGGAAAATGGAAAAATGGAAAAACGGAAAACTGGAAAAGGAAAAACGGAGAAATGAAGTAAACGACCCCTAACATTTCCTCATTTTCTACTTCATTTATCTGTTAAGTAAAAACCATTTCCAATTTGGTATAAGACCCTACTTTATCCTTAAAGTCCTTTTGTAACTTTTTAGAACTTGTCTTTTTATCGAGAGCCTCTGAAATGTTTTGAAGAGTGTGCCCAAGTCTATAATTTCTTCTTTTGAATTTCCACATTAAATTGTGTATCATCTTGCTTTTCACATTTCCATTTACATTTAGAACTTAACACATGAGAATTAAGTTTATCCCATATGTTCGATTTCCAATTAATCTTGACTCGAATAATATTAGAAAAGACAAAAGATTGTACTTTCGAACTCCATGCACCTTTCATTGTCAAAAAAAAAAAAAAAAAAATTCACTTGATATGTATTAACAACAAAAGCTGTTGACACCCTTTCCGTATATGAAATCCAATATTTTGTGATTCATTCTTCGTAGGGGTGACCACGGTTCCGGTTCAGAATCGACGATTCTAACCGGAATTATTAAAAAAAAATTTAAAATAACACTATAATATTTAATTTTTTTCGGTTTGGAACCAGAACCGTCGGTTCCGGTTCCAAGATTTTACAAACCTTGACCGGAACCTTATAGGTTCCGGTTAAGAATCGGAATCGAAACCGTACGGACGGTTCCGATTCGGTTCCGGTTTACACAGTCAACGATTCGAACCGGAACCATGGTCATCTCTAATTCTTCGGAGCATTATGAGTGGGTGAGCATATATGTGACAGAGGAATGGGGAATCAGTATCATAATTTGGGTGGTTCCTGAGGTGCCACGAAATTGTTGTGCATGGGCAATATGGGAAAGGACAATTTGTATCCTTTCCTAGAGCTAGGAGCTAGGAAAGTCACATCAGAAACGCATTATGGCGCAACAGCTTAATTTGATTTTGGAAAATAATTAGTAATCTCAATTTTTACTCTTACACTGAAATCTTGATATATACATTTGCATTGGGACTCACATAAAAAATTGACTTATTAATACCTGCCACATCAGGAAAAAAAATTTAGCGAGTAAGATTTGAGAATATACATGTAATGGAACTCTTTGATTTTGGAGTCTATCGTTACAAAAGGAAAAAAATACATGGACTTTCAGCTCACTCCTTATTCTCTCTCACAAATTCTCGATGTAGACACTTTTTTCTGGGACTCATGATAAAAATATCATATCCTTAGTTGTCACATCATGGAGTAAAAATGAGTGGGTATAATTTTAGAATGTATGTATTAAAACTCGTTACAAAATTGACTGATAAGTAGTTATGGGCCCCTTTTGATCATTTTTTGTTAGTTTCCTCAAGTAAGATACATTAAGACCCCACACACTGGGACTAATTATGTTCGTAACGAATTCAACCTCAAAGAGTATTTACAGTTTTAGAGCTCAAATCTGAGGTCTATGATTAAACTAGAAGAGCCACATGACATCTCATCTACACTCCATGATTCCCTTTTGATCATATTAAAGCAAGATATGCTCGCTATTCACTACAAGAAAAACGTACAAAGACAATGGTTTTTAACCGTTGTCGTAGGGGTAAAATTTCTGTTGTTGAAGCCAGTGTTATTATAAGTCCCAAGCATAGACAACGGATTTAACCTTTGTCTTTTCTAGGAAAGACAACGGTTAAAAACCGTTGTTTATTCAGTGTTGTTGAAGCCGGTGTTGTTAAAAGTCAAGCACATAGACAATGGTTTTTAAGAAAAGACAACGGTTAAAAACCGTTGTCTATTATATTGAGTCTTGTTGAAGCCGGTGTTGTTAAAAGTCACGCACATAGACAACGATTTTTAGGATTATAAGTGTTAGGACTTCGATTTATATATCTAACATAATTTGTCACCTAGCTAGGACCAATTAGAATGGTCCTTCGAGTTTGAATGGATGAGAATTTGATTCTCAAAGAGTGAAAGTCCATGGAATTGGAAAAATAGATTTGCAAGTCCAACATTAGAAAAATTGTGGGTGTAAATTTGTATAAAATTAATTCTCAAAACGATCAATATCCTTCAACTATTGTTTTATCTCAAGTTTGCTTGTTATTCAACTTTTAACTGGCCTAAATCAATTCTATGACTATTAAATT